ATGTGAGTAGCCCAGAACGGACAAATCAAACACGTTTTTCGTGGCCACCGTAGTTTCACCTAAATGCTTGGAATGGGAGGGTGAGGTGAGGGCATTGCAATCAGCAACTACACCACTAGATGTCACTAAATCCTACACACTGGTCCTTTTTTAAAGAAGTCTGCTTCAGGGTGTCAAACCTGGAAGTAATGAAAGATGCAGTTCTTTTGTTACTGTGTGGGTATACTGTAGGGAAGTAGTGCACAGTAAAAAATACAAGAAGAGAACTGGGCTTAAAATGGGCTTTTCAGCATTAACGCAGTACAAGATTTAGAGAAACATAAGAGAAAGTCCAGCTAAAAAGAAGTAAAAAATCTACCTGTGGGATAGACGGTGGTGTTAACACTCCTTAATGATACAATGTGGAATTCACTTGACAAGTTCTGGGTATATGGTAGCAACTTGCAGTGCTGCACAGTCCCACAGAGCATTTCTTGCTGGTGACAAACACATCTAATTAGCTTTCATTTTATTGTGATCTGAGCTGTGCCTCCCTGGTTGATCAGCGGCCTTAATCTCCTCTGTGGAGAATGCAGGATATTAGGGATAGGACACCAAAACCAAAGATACTGCAGCTTTGATGGGAAAATGGATTCTGTGAATATGAACTACTACCTAGGAACAGAGACAAAGCTTCCGTCTTCATTGCACTCCCTTTACACACTGAACTCTGGGTACCACAATCCAGGAAATGCCTGCAGCTATTTGAAGACTGAAAATCTTTTTTCACACTCTGCACTCCACACAGGTTTAGTGATGTTTCAATCTGGCAGGCTCAGAGGTCATAGGAGGCACTTGACTTGTTTTGGCTGTTTATGAAAACACTGTTGAAGCCTATTTGGCCTTTGGAAGAGTGTTGAAGAGCTCTTTTAAACCTTATGTAATGGCACATGGCATTCAGCCTAATATCTTCAATTTAGTTACTTCAGAGTAAAAGCCTTTTTTTATCTGATGTTTCCATTAGTTTAGTCCTCCTTCTAGAGCTGCTATATAAAAATGGGTTTATAGAGAAATAAATCAGTTTGTGTTTTTACTAGTAAAACATGATTTACTGTAGCTATATTCTCCTTGTCACCTTACTTCACTGGGTTGTTGCAGACAATTTTTGCCTGTCACTGGCAATAAAAGACTTCGTAGTTCATCTTGAGCTAACAGTGGGACATTTTGACCACCTTCTCTTTTCAGAAATACTTAACATTCACCTTTTTAGTAAAAAGGTTTCCTTTAGAAAACTGCAGCCACAAATAATATGTTGCATGCAGATGAGATTGCCCTTCCTGCTTTTCCGAATGCAAATGCTAGTGGCTCTGTGAGCACTGAGCTAAATTCTAAAGTCAGCCTGCTCACAATGACAATTCAACATGCTAATGTTTAGCATTAGTTTACCATGTCCACTAGCCTAGTTTTGCTAATTAGCGCTAAAGGTTAGGGAATAACCAATGTTACCACAGTTTATCCTGTGGGGAACATGAATGTTTGAACCACTTTTTATGATAATCCAGTGCAATATTTGTTGAGACATTTCACTTAAAATCACACATCTCCTCAAACCCATGGTGGCACTAGAAGGAAGTCAAAGTCAGTGGGCAGTTCCTCCAGGAAGCTGGAATGTTGAAGGAATTCTGCACAATGTTCTGCAAATTTGACCAATCATTGTAGTTCATGCACAAAATGCTTAGCCACAGGTCACCAATCACTTCCTTGTTTTTAGTCATAAAGATGCAGACCATGCAGATGTGCAATGCGATGACTTCACATTTATCCTCCAAACAGCGTGATTTATTCTTAATGCAACAAGTTGCATTCAATTTTGAATGAATTATACAAAGTAATAATAATAAAATATTTTTGCAGTGTTCACTTCAAGATTCAATACTTTATTGCCATACAACTCGGTGCAAGTTGCTAGGGATTTGCTTCAGTGTGCTCAGGACATCAACAAAGACACAAAAGACACAGAACATATAGATACATACACGGTATCCCACACAGGATCACACTTGATGCAGGCAGATAAAAAAAGCATACTGTTCACAACATACCTGGATGACAGTCCAAGAGGCTAGAGTGACAGATGTCAAGTTAAAGTGACATGGTGCATAGGGATGCAGAGCGCAACCACAAACTTTACAATAAATAGATCAATAAAACTAGTATGGGTAGCATAAACCTATATAGAAAAGTATTATAAAAACAATGTAAAAGATATACAATTTATACATGCTCGTTAGGAGAACCTTTTTTCCTGAGGTACTGATTCAGTGATGGAGAGCTGTTTAGATATTTAATGGCTCTGCAGTATGTGCTGTTGAGAAAGCGGGAGATTTTTGTCTTAATAGCCGTCAGCCTTCTCCCTGATGGGAGGATGGTGAAGAGGGGGTTTGAAGGGTGAGTCTCATCTGTAAGGATCTTTAAGCAACAATCGCACAACGTCATTTTAAAAAATGTCTAAAAACATTGCAACATCCCTCACAATTGTTTAAAAAAAGCTGTTGTGAAATCAGGCATTTTAGGCTGCAACAACCCCCAAAAAAACGCCTTGAGGGGCTGATTATAACTCATCCTCTGGGAAACATGAACATCTGTACATTTCAAACTGAAAGTTTTTAAGTAAACTAAAAAACCAGGAAAAACAATGCACAGAAGAACATCCTCTGCTGTTACTATCTGTACTTTTGAGGAAAATGAGAATACGCCTTTCCCCATTGTCTGCCTGTGCAACAGAGAGCAGCTGTGTCTCACCACTTCTTTGGATCAGGAAGTCATAATTCAGCCTTTGGGGTATGTAACTGTGTCACAAGTAGTATTTCCAGTAAATGAACTCAGCCTTTGCTGTCAACACTAACTGGTGGTCCTGCTAAGAAAGGCTTTGTGACTTTGTCCCAGAGAGTTGGGCTCATGCTGTATTCTACTGTCAGAAGCCGTTCTTTCTCATTCGCTCTCTGTCCCCATCTCTTACACTGAGTACATATGCAAAGAGGAAGTGTATCACAAATGCATGCAGACAAGCTTGCCCATGAATCAGAGAGGATTAGATTTGTTCAGTGCGCACACACGCTCTCGACTTCACCCTGTGTAAACTTTCCACTGCTACACTCTGTGTCATTCCTGTTGTCATTCTAATTTCATCTGAGGAACCCTGCCAAGGCAATAATGAACTCAAGTCATGAGGCAGGGGCCATGCTGAGTGGTTGTGAGTCGTTTTGTCTGTGTGTGCATGTGCGTGTGTGTTTGCGTGCAGCAGAGAAAATGAGAGGGAAGGTAAATGGTGGAAAAGATGGCGTTAAAGAGAGGGGCTGGCCAGGTTTACGCATGTTGTTTTGTGTGCCGTGCGTGTTTGTGTGCACCGTGTGTAACGTTGTGCTGGTTTTAAATTAACCAGTGCAGTGGGGTGTATCATCTAAGCCGCTGTAATGTGTCGACTCCTTTATTCAATTTGAGCAGTAATCTTAGAGCTCCCCACTGGCCTGCCTTCATCAGCCCCCTGCTACAAAGCTAGCTTAACATAACCAGAGACGCACCGAGGCAGAGAAATGCTAAAGAGATGAGCCACTTTTCAGGATCAAGATTATACTTAAACAAATGTAGCCAGGCTAAAGCTCCTCATTATGTAGGTATTATGGTCAAGATGGATCCTGTTTGCAGAAGTGGTTTGAGATGGTTGACTCCAGCTGCTCCGGGGAATTAGAAAGATGAAGATAGTGTAACAGATTCATGAAATAATCCTTCAGTTACATGATTCTGAGGTAAAGAGATGGGTGCCCTTATGTTTGCCCTTTTCTCATTGTGAACTTCAGCACCATGGACAGCAGCGTGCACTCATCCAAACTGTTTTCCTTTAAAGACTTTACCGTCTAGACCTTTTTTCTTGAAGTCAGTGACCCATAATGTTTGAGAGACACAAACAGGTATGTGGTAACTCTCACCTGAGATTTCAGTTTCCTGTCTTAACAGCAGGAAAGAAGCCTGAAACAGCTTTTCAGTGTTGTGCTCATTCTAACATTGTTTATTCTCCCATTTATAGCAAAATCATGCATAATATAGCTTTATGAATGGATAATAAATCATTTGTTGAATGTAGTTAAGTTAACCAGTTTTCAGTTTAACCATTAAAAAGACCAGATTTTTGGTTTCCAGGTGGTCATAAATCAGCGTGAATAAATCATTAATAAATGCGCATGAGTTTCTCAAGTTGTGCAGGTATACGTCTTAATGAACTGTATATGTAAATAAAGTCATTATTAACAGGTCACAACTTTTCAGAAAAGTTAGTAAGTCATCTACAATTTTGAAGTGACTAATTGATGAATGGCTTTTACAGTAAGTAGTTATCAAATCTTCAGGTGTCAATGGTAATGTAAATGTCCTGCAGTTCTTTTCCAGAAGGTCAAAGGTCCACAGTCTTACTGATTAACTTAAGACCCTCAGTAAAAAGACAAAGTGTCCTGCTGCGGGGGGATAAACATCAGTGATGGAGAACCTGGCAACCCAAAAGTTTCTTTTAAACATGGTTGAAAACAGACCTATAAAGCACCAGTAAACAGCTATTTTTTTTTACCAACTCTTGGCTAAAGAGTATTTCATATCATTGGTTGTACTTCGGTACATGATGCTGCTGCTGTTTTGTGAAGCCTGTGTATACTTGGTTTTAATGTATGCTCAGCAAATTGGAGGAAAAGCAAGAGAACAGCCCTCTGTCATTACCCTTACTGATGCTGCTGTTTGTTGTACTGGGCAGCTTCAGGTGTGAATCTGTAGATGTGAGAATCTAGTTCTCAGTAAAAACTTCCCTGAATACAACATTTAAAAATATATACTGGCTCTCACTTTGCTTGTGCACTTTGCTTTGGGTTTTTCTATTTCTAGGCACTTTACCATCTCTATTTCCCAGCTACTACTTTCACTTGAGTGTTGTTTTTACCTTCACCAAGGAGGTTTTCTGTCAAGATATCTCAGAAATGCGTGATTTAGCCTTGTGCTTTCAAAAAAGGGTTATTAGAGCTCTTATGAAACTTGGTGGCTCATTGCAAGTTGCAAGGTGAGGAAAAAAAAATCTTTTTACTTTTACAGAGACATCAAGGCTCTAGATTCCTTCAGAATATCCAGCATGAATCTCAACCACTGTGTGTATTATTCCAACAGTTTTACGCTTTCATGTCCGGATGGTGACGACCCCCTTATCCACTAACACCACCAACTACCACCCCTTCCCATCCTCCAGGTAAAGTGATATCACACGGTTTACAGCTGACACTGTCGCACCTCTCCTTCCTCCTTCCTCCTCCTCCTCCCCCCCTCTGTTGCTCTACCCACCCCGCCCCACCGGGACCGGCGGGCAGCGGGTGCCAAACCGCCCCCCGGGAGTCGCCGCGCTGAGGACGCGGCCATGCCGAGCGATGACACTCAGCAGCCGGACTACCGCCTCGTCTCCAGCGCTTCGCACATGACGGGGAGGATGCCATGAGATTTCCCACAGGCCCTCGCTTGCACCTGGCTGTGAGTGAACCGGGGGGAAAGAGGGGATAACCGACGGCGGATAATGACGTGATGGTTCCGGTTGTAGAGAGAGCGCAGGGGGGCTCCGGGCGTCTTTAATGACCGGCGCTGGAGAAGGAAATCACTGGACTTTATTGTGTGTGGAGCCGCGATCGAGACTGGACCGCAGTTCTACACAGAAAAAGAAAAAGAAACAGTCTCTCAAACAGGTTGCTGAGATCTCATCCGATCTGAAAGGTAAGGCGTGTTGGCTATACAATCATCCGTGCGCCACTTAACGGCTCCGCGTATCAATTTATCCGCTTAATTGAGTAAAAATTAGGCTCATCAGTGATGTAATCAGTGACCTCCAGCTACTACATCAGTTCAAACATTAGCTATGTGCATATCAAGAAAAGTATGAATTAATGTTTTATCCTGCTTAAGGGGTCGTACATACTCTAGTTTGACATTACTTGCATTGATGTAGCCCACATCCTGAATCTGGACAGTAGATGAGTAAATCGATTTAAGATGGGTTTATTTTCCGTCTTATTCCTGCTTATAGGAATTCAGTATACCTATAAAGGCTGTGTGCATTGTACTGAAAGAGAGTTTGTGGACATTAATGAACCATAAAATCTGTACTTTATCATATACTACTACTACTATCATGCATTATAATGGCCACATGTATATAGATTTAAATTTTGTGTTTTGTGGAATTAATTTAATTCAGGCTACAAAACACATACTGCACTAAAACCATAATTAACCTATGAGCACTGACTGAAACTGAATGTGAGAGTGAGGCGGTGGATAAATGATGTGATGAATGATTGAATTTGTGATGTGAATGAAGACAAATCCGTCCGACGAACAGGCACATTTACTGTAGCTGCAGTGCTGACCACATCACTGCTGGGGCCCGAGGCGTCTCTTTTGCATCACGGTTACAACTGATGTCATGTCTTTTCTTTTTCTTTTTTGTTTTTGCTTTCCCAGGGGGCTTTGCAGCACAGTCGAAGATGCTATCCCCCAGATGGTGACTTCTGCAGGTAAGGTGTGTGTTTGAGCATGCTTATTCGCATTATCTCTCTCTACACACCCACAGCCAGACTCGTGCAGGTCAAAAAGGGAAGGGGTGTTTCGTGTGGTGTCTCTGATCTTGGCTCTGCACCTCAGGGATTTTGCTCTGGGCGAACTGAAAGTGTTCACATGTGTTTCAGCTCTGATATCTTCAACTGGGATCTCTCTACAGCTCATTTGGCTCTCAGTGGTTTCCCTTTTTTTATATATCTGCACAGAATTTAACCCTGTTCAGTCCACACAACCAGTTTCTTACATATCCGAGCATAAATGATCCAAAATAAATAACACCGAGGTGATTATGACACTCTGTAACCCCTCCAAACACAAAAGGAGACCAGAAAAGAGTGTACGCGTTGTCAGTCATATGGAAAAAACGGATGACTGAGTTCCGTTTAGACTATTTGAAAATGAAATCATGCACTTTTTCCTCTGCCTCTTTTCCACCACTCTCTGCTGTCTTTGTTCCCTCCTGCTCCAGCAGTGGGTGTCTCTGTCCTAGATGTGGATGTGTTTCCTCTCCTCACACGCTGAGATGAGTGCTTTCAGAGGCGGACGAGGCAGAAAAGTCCCGATTTTACTACCTGGCCAAATTGCCCTGTGATGGAAAAATATTGTTAAAGGAACGATACTTGAATAATTAAAGCCCCAGGGCTTTAAAATTGCAGGGACTCGCTGTGATTTTTCCAGCGCAAAGTTAGGGGCCACTGCAACGAAATATTCATATCATTATTTAAGAATGGATATATCAAGGAGCCACTCAGGTGCTGCCACCCTCTCACTCCATCTCTCTCTCCCTCACTCTCTGTGTAAAGTCTCCGTTTCCCATCTGTCTCCTGCTGTAAAATCCTCCCTCAGCTTCTCTGTGTCCTCCCTTTGAAATGAATTCAAACTCATTCACTCTCTCTCTATCTAATATCTTCTTAAATGAAAGCTTAAAATGAAACCTGGATGACTTTCAGCTGTTGAAGATTTGTTTAAATTCATGTAACATTATACTAACTTGTCTATTTCTAAAGAATATATAGAATAAAATAGAATATAGTTGGAGTACAAACAGGCTGCAATGAATAGTCTATTTTCCGATTTTTTGGTATAATTGATAATGGGTTTTAAACTGTTGGTCATACAAAACAAAGGATTGTAACACATCACTTTCTCATGAGTATTTTTCCACTATTTTTGGACCTTTTTTAGCTGATGTGAGGAGAGTGAGCTTAGCATAAAGACTAGATACAGCTAGTTGCCTCTGTCCAAAGAAAATCTGGGGTTTATGTGTCAGACTATTTCTTGGCTGTGCTCGGTGATCCATCTTCCTGCAGTCTCAGCTGACTGCAAGAGTCCAGGAGGTCACTGCTCCCGGACAGGAAATACTCAAGCATCTAACCCAACATGAAACCACAGTGTTGTTTTTACACTTCACTTATTGTACGGACCAAAAGAACGAGGTATAACGTGTTGAATGGTGAGCTTTAGTGGTGGTAGGAGGCAGATTTTGTTACCTTTTGGACAGAGCACGGCTATCTCTTTCCCCTTGTTTCCAGTCTTTATGCTAAGCTAAGCTAACCGACTGCTGGCACCAGCTTCATCTTCCCATCTAACTCAAATAAGCAAATAAGCATACTTCTGAAAGTGTTAAACTATTCCTTAATCTTAAAGTTTGGTTTGTTACTTAGATTTTCCTTTCAAAGCTTCTCTAAGTTTCGTGGTTTGCTCAGGCCTCACACGGGAGAGAAAGCTCTTAATTTAAAACCACAAATCATCACCACATCATCCCACATGAAACTTCTGATAGAAGCAGCGTTTTTACCTCTCGAACTTTCGATTAGGGATATGTTTGGGGGTGGTTGTGTAAGTGTGTGTGTGTGTGTGTGTGTGTGTGTGTGTGTGTGTGTGTGTGTGTGTGTGTGTGTGTGTGTGTGTGTGTGTGTGTGTGTGTGTGTGTGTGTGAGAATGTGTGAGTGAGTGAGAGAGATGAACGTGTGTTTGCACTTGTGTGATTCCGCGCGTTGGCATTTAGCTGACGGCATGGATCGTTTCATTTCCCACAGAGAAAACGAATTAAAATATGACACCTCTCTCAGCTGCCTCTCATCTCCTGCTTTTCACTGTGTCAAGAGATGACAAAACTGCTAAATATAGTTCTGTGAGTGGAGGGTGAAACCTCTCCACCTCTCTCAACATTTCTAACGCTATGAAGGTTGATAATAGATGATGTTGTGGTAGCTTAAGCAGAGGTATAATCATCTCACCAATCAACTGTTTTTGAGTGTGAAAGGGGACAAGAAAAAGACCCTATTTCTTAGCCTGTATCCTGTGTTTAAGTGATATGGTTAGAATCAACATCATCATCATTATACTAGATATTACAAAACTGTATCACGTGAAACAAAAACTTAAGTGTTAAATGAGTTGCGATGACTCTATTTGTTCAAATATGTCCTAGATGTTCCTCAGTATAGAAACACAGGTGTCACCCTGATAATGCCGTGGGTGTATGAGTTTCATTTATTTGTTTCCAGTTTGGCGTGGCGAATATCTCTAAATACTATGATAAATGGCTGCAACTCATTATTGATCTGTTGCTCTCGATTAAGAGCCCATGCTTGTTTTATCTAACAGTACAAAACTTAAATGTATCCAATTTGCTATCGTATATGATGAAGAAAAGCATCAAATTTATCGGCTAAACATTTCAGCTCCACTATAATACCCATTCGTGCTTCAACAAGCATGGCTATGGAGAAAGAAGCTGGTCAGATAAGGGATTCAGAGCTGTTGTTGGATGCATCCAAACCTAACACAGATTTGATTTGGGGGGGCATTTCTTGCTCTTTTCACATTTTCCAGGTTTCCTGCCAAATGTAGCGCAAATTTGAACAGAATTTACTGACAGTTGGCAGAAGAAAATGCTATTCTACATTTCCATCCACTACCGCTGTGTGAATATTACAAGTTAAGCACAAAACCTAAAAAATGTGATGGAAATATGGCATTTATGTTTGTTCTACGTATTAACCTGAGGAATATAATAGTCTCCTCATCGCTCCACACAAATCTGATGTTTCCATGGCACTTGGTAACATTTGCCTTTATTGATACACCAACGTTTTCATTTGGGAAGCCAATTGAAAATGTGCATTAAAACAGGTGAATGGAAACCCATTTGTCCATCAGAAAAATGTTTTTTTTTTACCTCTGGAACATTGAACACCAGCTAACTCCTCTCACTGAGCCTCTCTTTCACTCGCTCTCTTGCAAATACACACACACACACACACAATAACAACCCACTGCAAAGCAATGCTTTTGTGCCTCAGTTAAAATCCCAACAAATCTCAGGGATAAGCATTTCTTCTTGTACAGTAAAGAACTGGATCTTCTACTTACTGCCACTGAAGCTCATTTGACAGACACAGACCATCTAACCGGAGTGTACTGGTCACCTGGGAGTGGTACACTTAATTTCTTAAAGGAGGTTTTGTGGTTGTGGACATCAGATGCCTGTTGCCTCTTCTGAGACTGTTTCATCCCGCCTCATCCCTGTAACTTGTCCAAGTCAGCAACTGACAGGATTTCTAACAGATCCTCTAACTCCTTTCAGGGCACAGGGTTGTTTTGTGATCCACGGTTTGTGTGTTTGCTTGGATTTGTGTTTTGCGTGTGTATCTCAGTTGAATCAGACAGCTCTGAACCCAGTGAGAGTCATATATGAACTGCATTGGTTAAGATACTCTGACAGCATTAGAGTTGAGTCTCCCAACCTCTGTCACTTGGCGTCTTTGTCTCTCCAGTCTGTTGGAAAATCTCCAGTCTGAGGCTTTACCTCAATGCTCCCTTTCTAGCATAATTTGGTTTCATGTTAGTCAAAATCACTTATTTTTGGTTCCTGAAAGAGTCCATTGCTTTGTCTGTGTTGATATGCATCAGAGAAGGCCATAATTTCTGCATTAATGTGCTATAGTAGCGTCATCAGTGTAGCACGAGTCTTGTCATGCCATGAAAGCCAGGGGAATTTAAACAATAGAGCAGAGGAGGGGGATGCTGTGGCTAAAATAGTGAATGAGAGGCAAAAGGAGGACTGAAAAGACATAAGATAGTGAGCTGGAGGAGATGGAGAAACAGGGAGCAAGAGAGACTTCACATCGCTTTTAACGACATTATCGTGGCCCGTGGTGTATATAATTTAGTACGATGACGCAATGGAAGATACTGCACCGAGCGAGCTGTCTGGGAGGGAGGCTCACATGCTCATTTCCACACACACGCACACGCACACACACACACACACACACACACACATAAATTTCTCTCTGTGATTGTGTCTGAAATTCATGTGCATTCAGCGTTAAATTTTAAGGTTGATGATCCCGTCTTATTACAATTTTCTTGCATTATTGTTTCCATTCTGAGAGTTAAAAAGCAAACAAGACACACAGGAAAGAAAACCTCTGTCTGGATTTGACTCTAGGCAAGAAGGGGTAACATGTGTCTCCACGACAGGCAGCAGACCAAACCACCCAACCCTGAACTAACTTTGTTTTTTTAACCCTCTGGCTCACATTTGACAGTCATGACAATACTACAAGTGCCAGAATGTTTAAACCATTTCATTAGGCAATAAGACTAAAATTCCCTGCAAATTACAGCCTTGGGAGTCTCATAGCTTTTAGAAAATTATATTAATACACCAGTAATGAGAAATAAGCTTGACATTTTTTCATCAATTTAATTGGGATAATTAAATGTTGTTCTTCCACTGAGAAATGCCTGGATGTTTTAGTTAATCAACTTGAACAGTAGATAAACAAAGTCGCCTGGTGGTTGTAATTACTATAATGGCAGTGTTTAAAATTAAAACTCAACCATATAAATTAGTCTAAATTAATGTCAAAATCCTGCATTTTATGCACTGATATAAAAGGTCATTCCCTCTTGGTGCATTAATATTTGGATTGTGTGTTTGGTATTTTAATGTGACTGCCAGTAGAAAGAAATCAAGGCATCCGCACACATATTCTGTTTCTCTTGCACACAGTAAATTTATTGCTTTTTGTCAGGTAGATGTGTTTATACGGTCTATTTGAGGCCAGGCGGTACATTTGCTGTGTGCAGTGGAGATAATTATGTGTGCAGACTCTTGATTTCTTTTCATTTACACCCTTTTTGCTCTTGTGTGTGTCCAATCAGAGCTATTTAAGATTTATTTACCTGCAATGCAGATCGAACGCTGGAGGAATGTAGAACACTTGACTGTAATTTGGCAGTGAGTGTTTATGCATGTATCTATATATTATCTTGACCTTACCCTGTCTGTCAGTTATCTGTGTGTCTTAAATGTTGTCACCAGTTCTCATCAAGGCACTAAGTGTGTTTTTGAATGGTGTAGTAAATACATCTTTACTGTTTCATAGCAGTATCCAGGAGATCACATGATGATAATTATCCATGCAGCTCTGTGAGGTGCTGTTGAATCAGTCACAGTGACAAGGAGATGCACGTATGAATGAGACTTAGTATGCTGAAACTGTACTGCACGTATGCATACAACATACCGGCCATATGGCAAGTGCACACAGTAGGTGTAGCTGCATTCAGCATGCTAATCCATCTACATCCCGAGTGTCTGTTTTCCCATCCAAAGTGGTCCTGTTGGAATTCACTCACATTTTGCAATGGTGGTTTTTTTAACATCCCTGCTGTGAGTCTAATTATGTACAATTTATGCCTCTATTTGTGGATCTTATTGTTAGACCAGATTCCATATGACACAGTGGGTGTGATTTATGCTCTAGTGCTGAAACAACTAGTTGATTAATCTGAGTTTTGATAATTAGTTTATTGTCGAAGGTGATTTATTGTGGGAAAATCCCATTGCACAAGCCCATTCCAACATCTCACATGTGAGGATTTGTTGCTTTTCTTTGTCTTGTATCATTGTAAATTCAATAGTTATGGGTTTTTGGCATGCTGATCAAATTAATTTAGCTGTTATTAAGTTTGTAATCACTTAAGTCTCTGTTAACTTGTAACATATGCCAGTCATTATTTTCAACATTTTATAGGCTAAACTATTACTTGATTAATCAAAAAAAAACTAATTAATCCATAATGAAATAATAATTAGCTGCAGCCATATATTTCTGTTGAAGCTCTTTGTTTTCCTGCAGGGGTTTCAGTGAGAGGAGGCTTTGAGAGTAACACTCCACAGGCCTGTCATGGTTTGCTACCTTCTCACACTCCTCCATCTCTGCATCTCCCGCTGTCTTCTAATGTAAGTGTCCATCTTCTCTATCAGAGCACAGTTATTTTTGTCAAGGGGTGAAATTGTTTTTCCCCTGGTAACACCTGAAAAAATTGTTAGGCACAGGAATATACAGGTGGGTGACAACAGGTCAATGTTTCGGGAAATAGGTTCATTGGTTGTCTTTCTGTGAGTTAGATGAGAAGACTGATGCCACTCTCATGTCTGCGTGTTTGGTACGGAGCTGGGTAGGGTTGGCAATTTAAAAAAAAAAAAAAATCAAGTTTGGACAAATTTATTTATTGCAATTCTTTTAAATTTATTGGGAAAAAATTATGTGTTAGCAAGTGAATTGGCGCATTTGTGGCTGTTAGGCAGCTGCTTTATATAAAGTCTACAGAAGCACACTCATCAGGACAGCTTTGCTCCATGGTTTGCTCGCTAATGTCTTCCATTTTTGTCGTAAACAACATAACATTTCTAGCTTAGTTTACTGGTAAGTCAATAGGGCATGCCATAGTTCAAGCTGATAGTGGAGCGCCCTCTGGTGGATCACAAGGGGAAAAAATTGGCACACTTAATAGCTGGGAGGTGATTAGCTTAACTTAGAATAAAGACTGGAAGCACAGGGACACAGCTAGCCTGGCTCTGCTCAAAAATACACATACCATCATCTCTAAAACTTGATAATTAACACAATATATCTCATTTAAACAAACCGAAAAGTAAAAAAAGAGAGTAACTGCTTCAATGAATGTCCCTGGTTGCTTGGCAACTGCTGTGCCTGACTGTTGTTCAGCAAGAAATGTCCGAAACAGCAACTCATTTGAACGTTTGTGATCGGGTTAAACAAGACAAGATGATTAGTGAGTTTTTGAGGCATAGTTTTGCACTAGGCTAGCCGTTTCCCCCTCCCTCCACTCTTTATGATAGTTGCCTCTTGGCTCAGGCTCCGTAATTAAGTATTTTCTGCGTTATTCCAGCATGGTTACCCTCACTGCTATCTTTGTAGTCACATGATCTAATGGCGTTAATTCCCTTTTTTTGTTGTGTTATGAACTTGTAATAATAAGTGTTATTACTGGGTTTAATTCATTTAAAGCAGCAACGAGGAGCTTTCATTTTTTTGTTGATTCTGGCGCCCCCTGACCCACCCGTTGGCAGGAATTAAGAATAACTAAATAGAAATAGCCAATGATCTCACTGAAGATCTTATGTGCTTATATAGGTCATATAGAGGTATCAGTATTAAATTGAGACGGTTACATAAACAGTTTAAAACTCCTTGTAGTAGGTTTAAGTCCCAGCTATGGATGATTTCCAGCCATTTGTCAGCAGTTTATTGATACTTATTTTTACCAAGTGGAAGTTATGATAGCTGTCAGAACTTCCTGATATCTCAGACTCAGAATTAAAACTCAGACGCTGATGTGGATGAGTTTTCTGACTCTTTTTCTCTGAAATAATGTCTCAACAATGAACGAAAGAGGGGTGTAAATCTCATCTCACTCTTAGAAAGAAAGTGCAAATGTGTTTAAATATGGGACATACAGGAGAGCTCAGAGGTTAGATGAGAATGAAAATAATATGAACACCTTTAGGACATTTTGGAACAATGTGTTAAAGAGCTCCCTCCTCCATTTCATCTGTGGTGATGTAATTTCAGATTTCAGGGATTTTATTATTTAGTTTTATGTTGTATGTCTTTTAATGTATTGGGACCATGTTGTAAATACGTTTTTTCACTTTGTCCCTTGGATTTCTTTTCTTGGAGGTAATCCGTAAATAAATCATCACCATCATCAAAACACCAAGTTATTGGTGAATGTCGTTCATCCCTCCTTTAGAGTTTGAATCTATGTAAATGAGCACTAAAACAGTTTCAGAGTTGTTGTTTTTTTAATCTGTGAGGCCTGAAACTACCCCAGCTGTCTGATAACAGCTGCATGATAAGTTACAACATATTTCATCAGTTGAGGTTACATCATGATGTTACATGAATATACTAATTCAGCCTACATTGGTTGTCTTTGCAGGCATTATAGAAACCTTTGTTGGACGTAAGTATGCTGAATATTTTGCACTAAATCTTTGTTTAATCTCTGGCACTACTGAAATCCAGATGCCTAATTCTCCTGTTTTCCTCCCTCCTCTTCTCTGTCATTAAACCGAAATCTCTCTCCCTTGCTTTTATCTCTGTCTGTCTCCCACTGAAGGGTTTGATGGAGAGCTGGTCGAATGTCAGCGGGAACTATTGTTATATCCGGAGGAATTCTCGCCGGAGTGATACTGCTGTGCATTGTAGCAGTGCTCTGTTACTGTAGACTCCAGGTACCACTGAGTGTGTATGATGATGTGTATGTGTTTCAGTCCTTAAAAAGAAAAAATCCTTAACTATTTCAATATAGAGCTTTATCTAAATGAGCTCAGTGATATGGGAATATCATGTTAAATGTGTTGTAGTTGAGAAGCTATATTATATATTGTATAATAGATTATATATAGCTGTATTTGTGTGCATCATATACACTATAAATACACTTTTGCTACCAGCTCGTTCCTTTTAAGCATTTATACATACAAAAAAGTACTACTAGAGCCAAGAGGTGATTAACTTAGCTGAATCTGAAGTCTGAATTTGTTTGTATGTGTTTTTTTAATCCGTCATCCGATTAATTTCTTTACTCACAATACGACACAGACTCATCGCGCAGTGAAGATGATTTTGTGGTCCTCTCACTTGAGAGTTGAAAAAGGAATTGGGTCCAAGTTGCGAAAGAACAAGGAACATTTCACTTGCTGATAAAGTAGCTACTGCTCACTGCTGTCAATCTGTCTCTCTCTCTCATTTCCTCCCTTGCTCCTCGAAACTGGAGGTTCCTCTGCAGGCTGTCGCCACTCTCTGCCCGCATCCTGCATTAAGCACTGTGACTACAAGATTCCAACATTTTGGACAAAAAATACGGACTTGTTGTGCAATGGCCTTAAGACTGGAAGCAGTGATTAAAACATCTGCCTACTAGCTCCTCTATATAAAAATGTTTTATCTTGTTTGTTTAAATGTTACACAAACAGAAATGTAAAAATGACCATTAATGGTTTTAGATGGAGTTTGGCTGTGTAACTATCTCTTGAAGAACAGCTGGTTACAGCAAATAACATATTAATGTTTTATACATTACTGTTTGTGTATGAATTAATAAAAACTAAATAAAAATGTTAATTAGTGAGCTTTGGAGCTGTTTTTAGGTATTTTTTTTAAACTTTGGAACGAGCCAGGCTAGCAGTTTGCCCCTGCTTCCAGTCTGTATGCTAAGCTATGCTAATTACCTGCTCACTCTAGCTCTGTTTTTAGCACACAGACAAGAGAGCGGTATTAATCCTCTCAAATAATTCTTGGCAAGAAAGCAATTAAATTCATTCCCACAGTATCAAAATATTCCCTTAATAGCCTTGATGTTCACAATATAATATGTTTTATAGTACAGTAAGTACTAAACCCTGAACACCCCTCTCTCAATCTCTCTCCCCCCTGGTGTCTTCCTACCCTCTGCAGTATTACTGCTGTAAGAAGAATGATTCTGAGGTGGATATGGGTTCCGTGGTGGGAGCGGACCCCCTCTCTCACTTTCCCTGCAATGCCTGCAACGCCCTCGCCATGGATGGCGCGGCTATCAGCCCAGTCTCTCTGGATCAACTGGACACGGGTTCTCACCACAACCACTGCCCCACCTGTTCCCCGTACTCCCTCCGTTCTGGACTCACAGACAACATGCGTAACGGAGGAGAGCGGCTGGGCTTCCACACCTACTACGAGAACCCATCTGTCTCTCTCCCGCTGTCCTCCAACCCGCAGGGCTCCTCCCCTCTGAGTTACTACGGTCCCTCGGACATGTTTCCTCCCCCACCACGCCCCTACAGCACCCAGGTCTGACCCACACTCACACATACAGAAAACTATTCTGACATACTTGCACACACCTGACATTTACACGTCTAGCACATGCCCTTTTATTGGGGACTAAATTCAGGTGATGGATTACGATACAGCACAGTTACACACACACACACACACACACACACACACACACACACACACACACACACACACACACACACAGACACCCACACATTACTGCACACGCTCACTTCTTCCACAGGCTCATTCATCCATTGGAGTGACCCATAAACTGAGCCCACTGACAGAGCTTCTCTGTGGGCAACAAATCCTTGGACCAAGCCCAATGGGAGCTGCAGATAGCAGCATTAAGCAGGGAAATGGTGCAGTCATTCAAGTCGCATTTGAAAGTGGTCAGGGACACGTGACCACGCATGTAGTGTGAACACAAACGGGTCCCAAGGCACGCTGAACGACAGCCAAGTCAATTTTCTTGTGTAGGTGCTAAGGATGCAAATTTTAAGCAATTCCCATAAGCCATGTTAATGATCAGTTACCAATTAATCATGAAAAGCTTATGAAATTAGAAAAACGCATATTTTTCCCCCATGAAACCTTATTTTAAACAATTGCTGTGTACAACCCAAATACATACAGATATTTAAATCATAAGAAAATAGTTTAAGTCATATATTAAATAAAACTAAATAACACAACATAAACCCAAATAGATATTTATTATTAATGTTTAATTATTAGTAATTTTATTATCCATATTCAGTATATTAAATTGTATGCTTGACTGTTGTCATTTTTTGCATGTTCAGCTAATATGCTAGCACTGACTCTCTAGGTTAAGCTAGCTATTAATTAATTAGAAGTGTAATTGAACACAGTCTCTATTATCCCTGTAATTAGCACCAAATTACATAGATATTTTAGAAAACTTAATAGGATAGCATTAGGAAATTATTTGTCAATTACAGATCCATAAAATAAACCAAATGTTCTGCTCCTGCTCCACCTGTTGTTATTCACAAATAACAAACTCAATTATAAAGTTACAGGACATCAGTTAAATTAGATTAAACAATGTACTTAAAAATGTATATAACCAGTAAAAAACAACAGGATTGGCTACCCTGATGTCCAAATTATTGATTAATTATTAGCAGTTTTGACAAACTTCCCAAACACTGGATTTATCTGAGGTGTTTTACAAAGTTAAATCACCTTATCCATCATACATGAGTTTGTTTGTTTTTAGCAACAATCATACATTTTTGCATAACAAAAAATAAGATGAGAGCTGGGAGGTGACATCCGGAGTATTATTGTGTGTTAGCTTTGTCTTTACAGTCTGAAGAATGAATCTGTTTACTTGATACAGAATCTGAGAACGACCGCCAGTTTCTGTTATTCTCTCCTGCATTGTTTCCCAGCTCTCTGCCTGTGCTGGTGTTAACTGAAAGTTTCACATGCTGAGAAAACCCCCCTCTTCCTTTCCCCTCCAGATTACTGTACATGAGGGCTAACAGTTTTTCTATTAAATTGTTTTGGTTCAGAGGAAAGATGTGAAGGAGAAATACAAGTTTTAAAGCTTTTTTTTTTTTTTGGGTGCGGCAATTATTTGAAAAAGTCCAGTTTTAGTCTGCTTAGTTTGCTTGTATTTTCACTTCTGGTTAATTGTAATGAGACTAGACTACTAAAAGGATGGTTGGTTCTGCAGTGTCTTCCATATAAGTTGATGTATTTAACTTTTTCATGTTTACAGATTGAGATGGGGGAAAATAAAAGAGGCATCTGCTGATTTTAGAGATGTTGTAGGCAGAAACGAGATACTTGGGATCATGTACCATACTTTGTTGATCTTGAAGCTTAAGTTTTGTATCTTATAAGCCATTATCTGCTATACAGTACAGTAACAAGATGCAGTGTATTCCACAGTATATGCCTGAATCTATATATTTTTAAGGAGTATTGTAGTTTTTGTGAGGGATGTCAGGGTTTAAGTGTGTTTTACTGAGTTTGTACCAAATGTGAGTTTTCCATACTCTTCGATTATTCTTCCATCCTGATATTTCTCTGTATTTCTGCCAGTTATAATACAACAGAGGAAAACAATGAGAAGAGAATGGAAATGTACATTTGAGAGCGGGAAATTAACTTTAAATTGTCCTTTAAAATTTAGCTAAAATATAAAAAATGTTAAAAAATAAAATAATATTTACTACAACAGATAAAAGATTATTAATTAAAAGACATATAAAAGATATTTATTCAGTATATTCTCACACCACATTGTTTCCACTGAGCTGTGAGCTTCATTATCACATTTCCTAACTTTCCGCACCTCACATTCCCTTGTTGTCAGAAGTGTGCTGAATTATATCTGTAAAATGACTTTTTTAAACAAATTTAGATGTCCACTCAGCATTGGTGTTCACTGCCACATAGCCAATATACTCACTCAAAAAATGTGGTCCCCATAGTTTGGTGAAAGGGGTTTAGTTTTTGTGTTCACCGGTTCTGTGATGACCACAAAGAGCACCACTGCCGTATGAGAACCAACCTGTTATTTTTAGGTTCCTTTTTCTTGTTCTGACTGTTGAAAATTGTATTTTTCAGATTTTTCTGTATGAAACTAGAGTGAGTTTTGGTATAACCTGATACAGTTACAAAAATCCACAGAGTTTCACAAAATGTTCCTTTTTTGAGGAGGAATAAATGTTTATATCTGCCTGGACTGGACTTTTTTTGGTCTGTCTTCACTTAAAATGACTCAGACAGTAGATGCACAGGGTGTTGAAATCCCAGTTTCTGGTAAAATAAAATTTGAAAAGAAGCACAGAAATACAGTATGTGTGAAAAAAAACCACAGAGGGACACTTGAGGAAAAACAAAGACAAAAGTAAAACAAAACTTAAAGAAAGGGAAGTGAAACTTGGAAACTTGGAAACCAATGTGTCATCAGGAAAAGGGAGACACAAAAATTAAATGTGATGTTTCAGGAGAAATGGAGAAATAATAAAAAAAGAGAAACTGCAGCCATGACGTGGAAGAAAAAGTGAGAATATGAGAGAAAAAAAGTTTGTGTCATTCATGGGCGGAGGTGCTGAATCCTCTTTTGTTATTCTACATTCATGCTTCTATCACTTTACCTGCTGGACCCGTTTGCTCTCCTTTACGGCAGCTCAGCCCATGACAATAATAGACCGACGGGCCTGTGTTCTAATAACACCCCCGGGGTGAAATATCACAAATACCACATCATTTACTCCTTCCTGGTACATCATCACTGTTTAGTCAGCAGTCTAACAGGTTCACACAGCTAGGGTAAGAGTGTGAACAAAAGGAACAGAGGAAAATGGATGAAAATAAATCTTCAATAATTTAAAAAGATTGTGGGAGCTAATTATCACCAAATAAATCAGAATCAAGCAGGTGACCTGAGAGGTGGGGACCATAAACGGGTGTTGTGTGTGTGTGTGTGTGTGTGTGTGTGTGTGTGTGTGTGTGTGTGTGTGTGTGTGTGTGTGTGTGTGTGTGTGTGTGTGTGTGTGTGTGTGTGTGTGTGTGTGAGAGAGAGAGAGAGAGAGAGAGAGAGAGAGAGAGTAAGTGAAAGAGAGAAGACAGGTGAGGTGATAAGAAAGGTGAGCACTGTAGTGGGTGTGTCTAAGGTTTCACACACATTCTCAGGTCTAATATAAACCCTGCTGAACCTGTTACTGCCTATTTACCTGTGACACAAACTCCTTCACCTGACACTGTGTGTAAGTGGCTCTGACTGCTACTTATTATGTGTTTTTAGTGTTGCTACACTTTACCTGCTGGAGTATCTCTCTCTTGTTAGTCACCTTTGGACCATTAAGCAGTGTCTTTGCGTCGCGACAGCTTGGACTTTGTTCTGGTATTTCCTGTTCATACTCACGTGCTGGACTGACAACAATATCTCTCTGACTTTACATCTCTAATTCGCTCAAAGAAATACAGACAGTGGGTCCCAACACTGCTGGTGGACTTTTGAGGATTTTCCTGATTTGAAACCTTTAACCTGCAAAGGTGGTGACTGTTTGCGTTCGTGCGAGTGTAAGCTGCACCTGTGGCTGCATATCTGGGCAAGATGATGGAGGAGGTGTCTGTCATGATGGCGTATGATGCCCACGTTATGGAGCAGATGAGCGAAGAGGAGATCCTGGCCTGTCTGGTGGCTGAAACCGGACCTAAATTCACAGTAAGACTCACTGTTGCATGGATGCATTCAGACACATACATAATATCAGCAGCAAAACCACAAAGACGAACTAACTATTCATTTGATCCAAAACCATGATTTATAAAGTTACTAAAGGTTTTCTGAAAAGCAATCCTGGATTTATTCATTTTCGCTTTTGCACCTAAAAACTTTCAGATACAAGACTTTTCTAAAGTCAGTTAGACTGATCCAAAAAACAGAAATAAAATGAAACTTACTGCCTTCTGTGTACAAGACTTCCTATACTGACTGGCAGCGATAACAGTATAACAGACACTGTAGCACAAAACACATTCCTCTGCATGACAAATATGTGCTTTGAGATAGAAGGAAATGAATTCTGCTCATTTTAGATATTTGTGATATGGAAATTGTCATTTCAGGCTTTAAAAAGAATCCTCCCCTCCACTATTATTCCCTTCTGTGTCTTAAAATGATCCTTGCCCATGTGCTCAGCTCAATCTTATCTAATTCTTATCCCTATCTTGATCTCTTTTTGGGGCCTGTTCTTGATTTGTCACGCTTATACAGCATCCAGCACCAGATCTGTTTGGGCGAGATTGCTTTCTCCAGCTCAGTAAAATATGACATTATTGTATTTTATTAGCCTCTACTCTCTCCCCTTAGGTCCCAACCAAGAAAGCTAAACTGAGGGAAAGTCTGCTTCAAATAATGGATGACGAAGAAGACCCCTTGGACAAATACCTGGTCAGAAATCTTTCCTACAAGTCAATGTCTTTGAATGCCAACCTCAACTTTATACCAACTCTGTGACATTTTTGAGACAACAAATTAAATCTGTAAAAGCTATATTTTCCTCTTTTCTGCCATGTGCTGCAGACCCTGATAGATTTTTCTGTGTTTTGCAGGAGGAGAACCGTCGGCTTCAGCAGGCCAGCCTCCGTCTGGAGCAGGAGAATGACAACCTTGCCCACAGACTGATCACCAGCAAAATTGCCCTGAGGAACGCTCTGGACAAGGTCTACTTCATTGCCCTTCACAAAAAGGGGGGAAAGGGTTTAATTTAAAAATGCAAACTTACCTGCGGAAGGTCTCAGAAACTCTCAAATCTAGAGGAGCCTGTCAGGAGACGGTCAAACTGTAACCTTAATAAAACTTCTACATTAAAATAGAAACTCAGCCTGCAGCCACAGTATGCATATGAGCTTAAAATGTCCGCTAGTATTGAATTTCAACCAGCCAGTGCTAAGTGCTAAGCATGCAGTCATCTAAAAAGTTTAAAACAAACAATATGATATACACCCTGAAATATCCTGGTGCAGAGATGATCAAAAATATAAATGGTTCTGTCATTTTCATGATTTCAAGTTTCCTAACTTTCCCAAAAGCCTGAAAAAAGGCTATTTATTAGTTATCACATACAGTAATTTATTAATTTTGTTGTACACGTGATAATCTGATCGTATTTTTAGACTGGAAAATCATATGGAAATGAATACAAATAATTTTCGATGTTGATTTTAGGCAGAGGACAGAGTGGATGAACTCAATAAAGACCTTCTACAGACCAGACGTCAACTGCAGGCTACAGAAGAGGAGAAGAGAGGGAAAGAAGAGGAAGCTGCAATGGTAAGGTTCTTAATATGTCTGAAGACTTTCTAACACCTGACAGCCATTATAGGTTCAGTATGAATGAGTGAAGGATTTCTTTTCTTCTTATAGTTAAAGGAGGTGTTTCGAAGAGAGCTGGAGAAGGCTGAGCAGGATGTCAGAAGGTCGTCGGGTATCATTGCAGACTACAAACAGGTACAGATAGTTTGAGAAATACTGTATTCCCCATAAAGGACATATATTAATAAAGAATGCACTGACGCTTAATGATGTTGATGCTCTTCCTTCTACTCAGATCTGCTCTCAGCTGACAAACCGTCTGGAGAGGCAGCAGGCCGCCCACAGAGAAGAGTTGGATTCACTCAAGGTGAGAATAGTGCTCTTCCTTTGGAGCTCTACTGTCATCCTTTTCTACTTTTATCTCTCCTTCTACCTCTGTCAAGCTTCAACTTGAACACCATGTCATAGGAAATAATTTTACAACCCTCAGCTGCTCACTTTCTCATTAGGGTTCATTCTTAACAGCAGGTGTCAGTGGTTTTTAATTGCTGGATGTCATATTTTTGGGGCAGAAACGTCTTCATTCTATCTCATATTCTCCACCTTTTCAGAGCGCAATGAAGGCTTGCGCACGCTGTCGGCACGTTGTAGAATTAGATGAACCATCACCCACGACTCAGGACACAGCAGCATTAGAAGGCCACGGGATGACTGAACCAGGCCAGAATGAGGGCAGTGAAAGTCCCAGAAAGGCAGAGCAGTGGAGAGACAACCAGGAGAAGGAGTCCCTCAAGGCCCAGATCAGGGAGTTGGAACAGGAGTTGGCCCAGACCAAACTCCAGATGGTGGAGGCCAAGTGCGAGATCCAGGTGAGAGCAGACCCATTAAACCCCTCACACATATACTGCATATATATATTGGAGCATACAGTACACAAACACGTTTTGGTAATCCAAGCGTGCAATATCCAGGTCAAATCACAGCAGCTAAGGATGCATTGTCACGTACGAGAATGTAAATAAAACTTCAAACACACACACAGAGCAGAGGGTCTGTGCTTGTGGGTACAATTCTGGGAATATATTCAATGCCTGGCCCCTAATAAAGAAACATATTATTTCAACTACCTGCTCAACTTTAACTCAATAAGAACAGATCAGCTTTAGAAGAATATTAATTGAGGTTAGCAACAGAGAAAGTTTTTGGCTATTAGAGCCCATCGATGTGAAGCATCCTCATTAACTGTAGGCCCATAAGAAGTTAGGAAATAGGACAGGATTCCCCGGAGTCTAGACGCTGGTGGTGAAAGAACAGCATCCAAGGACTGATTGGCTTGAAGCACATTATTACTTTTGGTGCTAAAATTAAGTGCTAGAAAACTAAAATTGTGTTTTGCTGCTTTAAAATGTATTATTCTTGTATTGGGAGAATATTGTATATATTGAATGTATAGGGAATATTGCATTTTATTTCTTCCCATGAAACACTAAGAAACAATACTTAATAGTCTTCAGTTAGCAAATTATTAAGTATGCTTTAATTAGTCTAAATATAAGCACATTTACAGTGGATTTTGATGTGATATATGCTTAATGGATTGACTTAAGTACACTTAAAATAAGCATACTAATAGTCTATAATAACCTACTTATAAGTACAATAAATTGATTTTCTTAATACTTTTCATTTTGTTAAACTTTTAAAAACTTTAAAGTTTAGGGATAAAGGAACATTGACATTATGAATGTGCAAATATGGACTGAAGTTATAAAGTAAAGTTCACATTTTCCCTGCTGAATTTCTCACATATGCCTGTGTTATCCAGGAGCTGGAGCACCAGAGAGGAATCCTGGCCAACGATCTCCAGGAAGCAAAGAACAGCTGGATCAGCAAGGCCTTCACCTCCCTGCGGACCCCCAGTGGAGGGGGGCTTCACAGCATTAGCATACCCAGATATGGAGCTAGCACAGTGGGATGGAACCTCCACAGTGGGCCCCTCTCTGCATGGAGCACCAAGAAGCTGTCGTGGCCTCACAGAGACAATCGAGAAAATGTCTGATAGCTTGAACTGTGACACAACGGAAGGATGAAACCTCTTATTAATTCACATTGTTATATGTACAGTATGTATTCAACCCTGTAGCTGCTATTTCTAGAGAGCATAGTTTTTTTTATAGTTGTAAACCACATCTTTGTGCCATGTGACGTTTTTGTATATAGTTATTTGTAAATCTCAACTCTATATTAAAGCAAGTATCACATCAGAATCTTTTTTGTGTGTGTGTGTGTGACGTAAGGAAACCTTACTCATTAACAGTTACTTGGCGGTTCTTTCTGAAGGAGGTTTTCCTGTGATAAAACCAAATGCGCTGTTCCTCTTTCAGTATGACCACGGCTGCCTTTAAAGTGTCGATCAGCTGCTCAAGCACACAGAGCGAAGAGTTGTCAGCAGTAGACTGTAACGAAGTTATCTCTGAACTTTGACTTTGCAGAATAGATCTGACCGTCACAGAAACGGAGCAACGGAACAATAGTATAGAGCAGTCAATATATTGCATAAGTGAGGGTTGATTATAGCATTTAGCTATTAACACTAAGCTTTGTAGACAAACTAAACTCTGGTAATAATTACTGGCTGAAGCACTGATAGCTACAATGGTTGGCAGTGTGTACGTCACTTTGACTCTTCTCATTTGCGTTCTTGGAGGCCAAGCACTGGACCTGCTGAGGGCAACTGCAACATCAGGGAGTGAGTATCAATCTGTGTGAAAAATAATTATTCTTTTATAGTAATTTTATGAGGGGTTTTTTTATGTCACAAAGGCTATGCTGTTGTTTTTAAGGGTTTTTGGTGATATTTTAATGTATGTTTTATTGATGAGTGACAAGCAAGCAAGAAAAAATGGGAATTGAATAAATAGGAACAATAAAAACACACAAGCAAGGATATAATGCGTAATCTGTATTTTATGCTCTGCTCCTGTTGTGCCTGAATGAAAACAACCAGTCACAGCCAAGAAAGATAGTTTAGTGTTGAGTTGTTTTTGTTCAGGCGTGGTGGATTCCTGGAGAACAGCTAACACTAGGAGGAGCCAGAGGAACCAGATTGTATTAATAGATTGTGTCTCATGTGCTACTGAAAACTTCAGGAAATATGACACATTTTATTCAAGTCACCCGCTGCAACTTTAAGTGTAATTTCTTCTCTCAGATCCTGCCTTCACTCCCAAGGTGCATTGCTGGTGTCCTAACTATCCGAATGGGACTCTCTGCTCCTGGCCTGAACCCTCTCACTCCCCACCAGTACACTACATAACCAGCTACAGGTAAATCTGAGCAATAAAACAACTGTCCTCCTCCTCTCATGTGCTGACCCCAAACCACTGACACCTTTTAGCAGAACAGACTCCAGTTGTCATTAAGTGTCATTGAGGAACTCATTTGTATGTGTGTGAATGTGTTTGTCAGTCAGAGACATAGGCAGACGGTCACCGAGCAGTGCCATCTCATCCAACCTAACTCTTCATCCTCATCATCCTCATCTCAACGGGTACCAGCTTTATTTACTTCTACTGCACTATACTGTACTGTACTGTACTACATTATACTGTACTGTACTGCATTATACTGCACTATACTGTACTGTACTACATTATACTGTACTGTACTGTACTGTACTGCATTATACAGTACTGTACTGCATTATACTGCATTATACTGTACTGTACTGCATTATACTGCATTATACTGTACTGTACTGTACTGTACTGCATTATACAGTACTGTACTGCATTATACTGCATTATACTGTACTGTACTGTACTGCATTATACAGTACTGTACTGCATTATACTGCATTATACTGTACTGTACTGTACTGTACTGCATTATACTGTACTGTACTGTACTCTACTGCATTGTAATGTACTGTACTGTACTCTACTGTACTGCATTATACTGTACTCCACTGTACTGTACTGTATCTCCAGCTGAAGAGGGGCTTTCCAAAACTCACTCAAATCGGATTTTGAAAAAATGAAACTTAGTATATTTTTGATGTAAAGAATAAACATAGGTAAATTTGTTAGGATTTTATGCTGTAATGTTGTTCCAAAACTTTCCAAACAGGGAAAACCCCTCTTCGGTTTTTCTGTTACAGCTGTAATCAACCACAAACCACAGTTTGTCTTGTGAGTCTGATGTGACTGACAGTAAGATATGAGAAATAAGGAACATTGTGATCAGTTATGCAATGATTATAGAGTTATTCTCAGCATCACTGCTGTCCTGCACATATCTATATTTTGTGTGTTTTTACTATTATGTTTTAATTTTTCAAGTAAATAAGGAATTAAGCTGGCAGTGTGTGAAAACTAGCAAATTACTTTCATATCCTGGAGATTTTCTGAATTGAGACATAAAATAGACTGAAAAGGATATATATATATATATATATATAATATATAAAGCTACACATAATATATATTACCTTGTATCACATATCATTCTGTTTCTTTGTTTAGCTCTGGCGCTGCCTCCTTCCCAACCTGAACCTTCTCACTGACTACATCCTCAATGTCACAGCAGTTTATCCTGGTGGAAGCAGCTCCCATCTTTCAAGTTTCATGATGGAGGATATAGGTGAGAACTGACATTAGAACTAATCCTTAAGGTGAGGAGAGTGACGAATGTATAATGTAGTGCATACTGTAAAGAACGTTTTTGTTTTTCTTTCTGTCTGTAGTGAAACCAGATCCTCCCGTAGACGTCCGGGTTTCCCCTCTTGATATCAGAAACCTGTTGGTGGAATGGTTCCCTCCCCCTACGTGGGCTAACCTGGACATCGCCCCCCTAAAGTACCAGATACTGTATCAGTGGGAAAGCTGGGGTATCCCAAAGTCTGTCAATGTAAGAGTAATCTTCATCAGAACTTACACATATACCGATACCACAGACAGTCCAAAATTACCCAAACTCTTTTCAAAAAAGTTTTAAAAAGTCCCTTCGTCTGTGGAAATCTGTGGTAATTTATCATGTAGCTTTTGAGTTTAGTGTTAAATGTAAACATATAAACAACAATACATCTTATAGTGTTTACAGTTACAGTTTTAAATAACAATTACTTTAAAATGACAAGTGTTGATTGGAAAGCAGTTTTTATGTTCATATAAATGATACACTTATACAAGGATTAGTTTAACATTTTGGGAAATATGTTTATTCACTTTGGTGTTAATTAGTTGGCTTTAGAGGTACTGGTAGACTTTTAATTCAACCTTTAAACAGAGCCAGGCTAGCTGCTTTCAGTCTTTCTGCTAAGCTAAGCTTTAACCAACTCCTGGCTGTAGCTTCATATTTAAAGGACACAGTAAACTTCTAACTATGCCTTTAAACCTATTTATTCAAGTAGAGTCATTGTGTTTTATTTTGAAAATGTAGATGTTCATGGGTGATTAAAGAAAAAATTATCATACATTTTCTCCTCCAGCTGGGTCCGTTTGAGAGCACCAAGGTTGAGCTGAAGGGGCTGACACCGGGAAGGCCCTACCTGTTCAAGGTGTGTGCGAAGGAGCTGCTGGGTCTGGGCGAGTGCAGTGACTGGAGTTTACCTGTAAAAATCACCATACCAAGAGTGTAACCGTACAGATGACCTCTCACTTCCTGTTTTATTTATTCCTCTCCTTTTAAGCTAGCAGTGAAGTAAACTGCAAACAGGTTGCATCATTGTGGTTGCAGCTGCATGAGCAATGCAAGTGATAATTATTGATGTTTTGTTTTATTTATAAAGTAATAAATAGATATCTGTACAGTGTACAATAAAACCATTTCTACTGAATATTGTCTCTCTTGGTTTGTGTTGGTCTTTGGAGCAACTGATAATATTGTAACCATAATGTATCTGTCTGATCAGTTTATATATGAACAGTTTATCACCTGTTTTGACCTTTTTTAAGACACATTTATCTATTTTATCCTTGTGTGGCAGCTCCACATTTGTGTGAAAAATTTGTATTGAAGCAGTCAGTCGACTACATGCACTACAAGTGGGGTCACAAACTCAGAGTGTCTGACGCCCATTGTGCAGGAAGGAGGTTTGGGGAGGTGCAAATGAAACTTCTCTGGGCTGTACGTGCCGGGACCAGGAATAGCAGAGGAATAATTAGGCCTCTTAGTCCGGCTCTGCATGGAGAATGAGGGCTGGCGCTGGCGGTAAATGTCTGGGTTGATGCTGTTGTATTTTGCCGGTCCGGGACTCATGGAGAGGTCTTCGGTGGGAGCTCCAACCTTCCTCCGGGCTGAGAAACTGAAACTGGCACTGGAGGGTTTGTTAGGCACCTGGCAGCCCAGCAGATTAGGAAGACAGTAGCTGGAGTGAAAAAACAACACATGTATTCAGCTTATTTTTTAGCCTAACCCATCCTGCTGAAGATGTAAATCTTTAAAAACAGGTCACAAGTATGCACTTTTTTTAAACAGCTAAATGATATCCTAATAACGATGAGCACCGTAGTTTTTAGCAAACAGGAGTAAATAGTGCATTCATTGGGGGCTAGTATATGTGGCATTGACTCAGTGCAGTGCCCACGTTCATTATAATGAAGGAACATACCACTGATGTATTTGGGGAAACAATAGAGCTCTATGGTATGGAGACAATACTTATAATATCACCAGCCTTGTCCTGTACTGTCTCTGTCCTGCTGTCTTCACCTGTTGGGTGCTGGTACAGCATCCACAGAGCGGTATCTGGTGCGGTTGCCGATGGTGTAGGATGGTGGTCTGTGGTGAGCATTGAGAGGCGGAGCCTTCTCTGGGCTGTAGGCCCCCGGCCCTGGAGTCTGCTGCAGCTCACCTATGAACACGAATAGAAATTTGTTTTGGAAAGTTTTGATGAAGAGAAAAGAAAAAACTCTGCAGGCCTGAACGTGAGAGTGTATGAAGGAAATAGTCTCTAATCCTCCTCTAATCTTTTGATAGTGTGATGAAGAAAAATAAAATCTCTTTACCTGATTATCTGTGTGTGTGTGTGTGTGTGTGTGTGTGTGTGTGTGTGTGTGTGTGTGTGTGTGTGTGTGTGTGTGTGTGTGTGTGTGTGTGTGTGTGTGTGTGTGTGTGTGTGTGTGTGCGTGCGCGCGTTCAAGATGTTTCATTCAGCGGTGGAGGAAGTACCTGGATATTTTACTTAAATATACTTCAAGGGGATTTTAACTGGTTACAGTATATTCTCAATTTAATACTGATGCCTTTAAATCAACTACAGAAACAAGCAAGACCATCTGTGAGAAGACTGGATATTTTTATATATTCTTAATGTCTCCCACCAGGTCGGCTTCTGTTGGATTCCCCTTGAAATTAATTAATAAGGGTGGTGGAAGCGCTACCATTTTGTCCACAGGGGCCACCACAATAAAAATTAAAGTTCCTTGTTGCTGCTTTAAGAAAAAGTACTAAGATCAAACTGTAAAAATACTTACAAAGACATAGTATATATATATATATATATATATATATATATATAATTTTTTCCTTTTTATCACCTTTAGTCCCTGTGCGCCTTGCTCTGCCCAAAATGGAGTAGGAGGGGGTTTCCATCCGACCAAACCGGGTGACCTTGGCATCAATGTGGTACCTTGGTCCTGGGCTGGAGTCCACGGACACCACTACAGAAAACACAATACACAAGCGACTATCCTGTGACACCTTTAGACCTCATAACAGGATGTGACAGTTACTTAGCATAAGAAAGTTTACAAAGCATTAAAGATCCCTGTGAGTAACTGTTAACTCACTGGCACTGCTCAAGCGGCTGTGGAAGGAGTAGGCCGGGCTGCTGGGCTTGGTGAAGTCATGGTTGATGTATCCAACTGTAGGGGGCAGAGCGTAGCGTCCAGGGCCCGGGCCTGACAATGAGAAGAGGAGTAGGACGAGGACAGTGATAAAAATGATTCAGATTCAACTCCAAGCAGCAGTATAGCACGCCCGCCGCTCTCTGGCTCAGTGTATAGTCTCTGATGATTTCCATATGGAGATCTTTGACCTATTTTCTATGGTTATGCATTTTAACGTTCTCCCTGTGCTTGTTTGGGAATGGATTCTAAACAAAGTCGAAATCTCAAACAAGTGTGGAGCAATGGCTGTATAATTTCCTAGCAAAAATAGTTCAGCTATAATATAGTCCATGTGGAAGCACACACATACACACACACACACACACACACACACACACACACACACACACACACACACACACAGGCATACAGATTTTTTTGAACTGACCTCTTTCTCTAGCAGAGATTATCGGCCGTTTCTTCACCACCTCCTGCATTCTCTGCCAGCCTCTTTCTTCCCTTTTCTTCTTCTGTCCTCTCCTCTGCCTCTTTGGGTCCTCTGTCACTTCAGACACCTCCTTTTTTGTGTATGTGTGGCTCTCTCCTGGTAATCCATGGCCTCCTGGGCTGAATTATACATGAGCATGAGGTGAAGAAACCCTATCTTGACCGAGGGCCTGGGTACGCCCCAACCTGCTCTCCACCTCCCTTTCTACGAGGTCCCCTTAGGACAAAATGTGTTCACCACCAAGGCCAAAAAGTTGACTCTGTCAAGGCTAAAAAGAGGTCGAACAGTGATTGTTTTGGTTAAGAACAAAATCAGCACAGTAGTAGCATGCTTCTGTACAGCTAACTGTATAATGAAAATAGAGATTCATGGTGAAAGTGCAACAATAAATATGATAGTATCATGTAGTTCATTTGTCATCCTGTCCCGAAGCATCAGGTTACTTAAACTGAACTGCAGTATGTGTGGTGAACCTCTCAACTACAGTATGTATGCTGTAACTAATAGCAGCACAGCACACATGCTATTAAAAATGAAAGGACTTACACTGATCTTATGTTGCAAGTGGATATTCGGCAAGCTCAACATTGCTGTAATAAAAACCATGAAGTGATTAGTGTAAAGATTTGACAATCTTTTTGCTATTCGATAAATATGTTTTAGGTCAGTGGAAGATCTCTAATGAGCATACGGATGCAACTGCATGCTCAGTGATCAGGAAAGCCCAAATACAGTGCTAGAACTGTAGCCTGTCATATTGTTGAGGTAAGTATTTGATTTTTTTGCACTAAATTTCACGAGGGAAGGACAAGTGAAGGCAGAAATACAACATAAAGTAGGGTCAAAAGACCCACCCCTGCACTCCCCTTCTTAGAGAAAGTACATAACCCATGTTCTTTTCTGACCCCCACACCTAATAATTTATGTATATTCCCTAATCTATAAAAATATTCAAGTATTTTCTGCATAGTACCTTTTCTGATAATTTTATTTGTATTATTTTATTTTGATTTTAATTGCAGGACTTGTAATGGAGCATTTTTTCACTGTTATGTTCTTAATGTGCAGACAGAGCAACAGGAGACTAATAATAATGATGAGAATAAATACAAAATATTGTAGATATAAACTATATTTAATCCACGCTCTTGAAAACAGAATAAAAATACAACTTTTCCATTCAAACTACAAAACATAATTTCAATTTGTGGGATTGTGAGAATTTTGGGGCATAAAAAGTGGTTTGCAGCCAACAACAAGTTGAGGAAACAGCACCATATTCCACAGAAGGCTATTTAGACTGCTAGCTTAGCACACAGGCAGCATCTGAAAAGTGTCAACTGTGGCAGAAAAGCCCTGAGGAGAATTAAGTTTGGGCAAATACAAAGATGTTTACTTTCCAGTGTGAGAAACTCAGGTAGAAATTTGCTCTCCCATTTGACTAATTCTACCCCTGAAGGTAACTAAAGCCTTTAGAGCAGAGCCATGACTAAGTTAAACCCCACACCAGTTAAATATTAACCACTAGTGACTCTGAGTGGTCACAGTAATAAGACCCTGCTGGGTCACCAGCAGGAGAGGAACCCGTTACACAGGCGGGCACCGACAGGAAACAACCAGTGTCTTAAGTTCCTCCTGATAAAAACTGAGACAATGCAGCGAGCAGTGTGAGACATGTTCAAGAGACCGAGGACGGAGAGGAAATGCAGCCTGGATTCATTACACAAAGCTTTTTACCGCCCTCTCCAAAGTTTTCATTTCTGATTGTCTGTTTGTCTTCAGGAGCTCGTTCAGAAATTCCAATTAAAAGTGTTGAAAAGTTAGGCCACAGGCCAAGGAAGAACTAATTATATTTAGGAGCAGATAGCGCCACCATGTGGCCAGTGTTTTTATGTTTTTTCTCCTACATGCTAAACACCCATTTCCATCTGTGAGTATTTTAGATGGCATGTGAGTACAATCTGATGAAAACTTGATTATTCTGACTCACTTGACATTTATATATTTTGCACATTATATCCCTAAACTGTATTTAAGATAAGTGAGTAAGGATTTGTGGCATAACTTCACCTACAGTACCTCTAAGGTGCATGGAGAAGGGAGAAAAAGTCATATGGGGACCTTCATTGTATGTCATGCCTTCTATGTCTCCTTGTTTCTTGTCATCTATAATGAAGGCATAAAATTTTCCCCTAATAAACTAAAATTAATAACAGATTTAGAGGATTATGCAGCCTCAGCGGAGCCCCTGAGTGTGTTCTAGTTTGGCCTTAATCTTCTGTTGTGCTCACTTTTCCATCTGATGTTGACTGCTAAAGTGTGTTCAAAACACCACAGAGCAGGAATAACAAGCATAAAAATATATATATGGAAAAATATATCAAGATCACTGCCAGTGTATGTTGAAACTTTAGCAATAAAAAAGCCATTTATTTCCCTATATGATACTGTTAATGTAGGTGAACTGCAACTTTGTCTTCATGGTTAAATGTTGAATCTCTACCAACATGAGCTAAAGATAATGAAAACCGAAGGCAGCAAATTACTGACCAGATGTTCTGTTTCTTTCCTTCTTTGAGGAGAAACTGATAGTGATAGTGTCACTATAAGTCACACAATTTATTCCATGCATATCTGCTTATTTTGAGGGTGACATGAGAAGAAAATTAAATTCTGTATTCATATTATGACACGTGGATACATTTCTGTTTTAAACTATTTCAGTTCAGACAATCCCTGCAGGAAATGATGTTGAGAAGTAAGTCATACTGTCCGAAAAGATAACAGGAGGAGCAAATTTATGACAGTGTCTGCTTTGCTGCTGTAGTGTGCACACAACTCATTTCCAAACCCTGTTTCTGACAACATTTTTATATAACAACATTAGAGATTGATAAACAACTTCAGTCATTGATATTTCTTTACTAACTAAACATAACTTAAGAAATAAAACATAAATTTATACAGTTTTAAATATGCTGGTACAATTCAGTACAAAAATAAAGGCAGTGAAACGTCTCCATACACAAACACCATCATGTCATCAGTCACATACTGTTGCTCAGAAACACATGAACGCTGGGTGAACCAGTTTGGCACATTATCCACTTATATAACAAAGCATGAATTAGAAAATACTGTATGATAATTTGATACTTTATCTTTTTACATCAGGAGCACAGTGTCCATGGACTCCATGAACAGCCACTAGATGGTGCATTGGATCCACGGGAAAAGCTCAGAAAAAGGTCTCAGAATACTTTTAGATGCTTGGGGCAACACTTCTAGTTTGTTTGAATCTGTTTTGATCACCTCTGTGCATATTTAGAGCAGGTACATGTCAAATGTCTTTACTGATGCCCGAGTTATTCATGCTACAATGTCCTTTGAGAAAGCAGAATAGTCCGCATGGTCACTTTCTAATAATGATACCAGGATGTCCATGGCAAATCCACCTTTCAGCTCCTCCCAGTTGCACCTTTTCAGACAAAAAAAATTGCTCATGTCAACTGGAAAAGACGCCTAAAAGAGGATAATCTCACAGCTTCTCGTTGGATGTCCTCTCTCTCCGGCCACAGCTGGTATTCGCACAAAATGTCCAGAGCAAAATGTCCTATAATTCCCATATAAGAATACAATCTCTCTTTCTCAAACACACACATAGACAAAAACACACTCACTCAGTTCTTTTCTGTTGTTTTCTGCTTGAAAAGGCAGCGTGTGCTAGGATTTATCCCCTTGGAGAACCTGAATTAAAAGACAAAATCTGTTACAAATCAGCTTTTTATAAAACAAACCGTTTTTACTTTGAGTGTGTATCCGTTTGTGCGGCACATGTCTGAATGCATGTCTGTGATTAGATTTGAATACAAATGTGTGTCCCTGCATTAGTGATGCTTACCTACCTGGTTGCGAGCTTTGTGGGATTTCTGCATCAGCACTCTCCACTGGTCGTACAGCTTCATGGACATGCTGCTGCAGCCGTAGGCGTGTTTCCGCACCCAGCCGAAGAACTGCTTCAGCTCCCTGCGCAGGGTGGAGTTGGAGTCCCCGCTGGACTTTGAGTCACAGGAGCCAGACATCAACCGCTCTGCAAGAAGGGGACAGAAGGAGGAAGAGAAAGACACTGGAGTTAGACTAGCTTTGGTGTTGTGGTGGAAGAAGTACTCAAGTAAAACTACTGCAGTAAAACGGCCCCTGTAATTATATATTATTATATATGACATTATTAGATTGTAAATACTGATGCATCAATGGGTAAGTAGAATTTTACTGCTTTAGCTGTCGAGGTGGAGCTAGTTCTACTTTATAGGCATTTAGGTGGTCCAGTGGTTTCCAGCCTAGGGGTCGGGCCACGTCATAAATTTGAAGGGTCACAAGATGATTGAGGGAGTGGGAGAACAAAACAAAGTTCTGCTACACACATTTTTGTGAAATATTGGTCTGCTGAATGTGTTAATAAGCAACTGTTTGCTAACAAGTTATCAACTTAAAAGATGGTTATATGTTGTTTTCACAACTTGTTTCTGCTGCCCCCAAGTGGCCAAATAATCAGTTATTACAAGTTTAACTGCACTTAGTTACAGTGTGTGTGTGTGTGCGCCAGTGTTAGATACACTAAGAGCCATGAAAAGCCATGAAAAAAGTCAGTCTGGTACAATTTCCCAAATTCCTGTCTTTCATGGGACCTTCTGGGAAACCCTTTAAGGAAAATTTAATTTTTTTGCATCCCATGTTTTATTTTCATAGTTGTGGTCATCATTCTAATCAGTTCTGACACCATTTTATTCTGCAATTTCATTGTTAAGTCTGGGGAGACAACTACTGCAGGTAGCCACAATTTTATTGCATCCAGTAGGGCAAGCAGCACGACTTAAATTGTGTTCAGTCTCCTTTATTGATCTTTTTTATCAGTTTTTGTGAATCCATTTGTGTAGCAACCAAAACATTACATAATTATAGTCTGGTTTGATTTTGTAATGTTTGGTTTGGCAATAATTAGATTTGGTTTGGCTGTGGATTTTGATGTGATTTGATCTGATTCGATTTGATGTGATTTAACCAATGCAACCGCCAAAAAAATAAAACTGCCAATACAATACAAAACAGGCTGGGAGAAGGGTAAAGAAGGGTAAAACAGCACCAGTGCGTTCTTCTATGAGGCTGCCAGTTTCCAGCAGTGGGAAAGAACTGTGGGACGTGTGGTACGCCATGATATAAAACAAATTTTAGGAGTACAAATTGCCTCTTAAAATGGACCAAAAGGCGCACAAAAACTGAGATCAAGAGGAAAAAATGCCTTCTGAGTAAATTTAGTCCAGTGAGTGTGTGTGTGCTCACCACTGTGGGGTGTGGATGCAGCTGTAGGATGGCTCCACTCACTCCAGATCCCAGCTTTGCGAGAGCCGTAGATGCCCACGGGGTTACAGCGAACCTGGAGAAAATACAAGAATATGAACACAGGCCAAATCTGAAGCACACTTACATACACTTCAACACATGGCACACACACACACACACACACACACACACACACACACACACACACACACACACACCGTACCATACCTGGACAAAGTACACTGTTCCAGGTCTCAGTCCAGCCAGTCTACAAGATGTCTGATTCCCAACGTCATCCATCACCTACATTAGAAAAAAACACAGAAGAGTTGAGCGCTGGAGGTCTGACCGCAGTATTAAATACCAATGGGCATAAACTAAAACACAGGGCAGAGTCAAGATGTAGAAAACACAACCACAAACCATGTACAGATCTAAACATGCATGCACACCACATTGTTTAGTGGCTCCTGATCAGCATGTTTATGAAAATATTTTCATGTAATCGTGCCTGCTGGGTAAAATCTGCTCTATATTACGAATGACAGAGCTGGATATGCTGAGAAACACACACAGGAGCGTGCACAGGTACTCCTACAAATATAAAGACAGATGGCAAAAATAAAGACAGGCTAATAGATAGAGAGAAAGAAACGGCCACACGCTGCAGTTAATAATGTCTAATAGTCCCCACTTTCTCTCTGGCATTCAGTCTGTAAACACTTGTTAAGAGCGGCTACAACAGAAAACAGAACATGGAAATTACAGGCATCAGAGGGCTAATGATGTGACGTGGGGAAGCCAAAACGCTGAGCGTCTTTACAGCCATATTGAAGACATTAACAGCTGAGATGTATTCCTCCATTCCTCAGCATGACCTCATGATTAGGGCCGGTTCAGAGGGAAACAGTGTTTTGTTTTCACCACCAAACCCTTAAAGCCGCTTGGATTTAAGTCTCCTCTCTCCTCCTTCGAAGCGGTCTCATCCCTCCGCCGCCTCCTCTCCACTCCCCTTCTTTTCTTTTTCCACTTTGCGAGCATAGACTTGCTTATATTACATCTGTGTAATTCCCCCTTAATTACTAGAATCTTCACTCGTACCCAGAGGACTCATATGAATTCCGGGAAGCACCATCTGCACGGCTGAAGGTTTTACACTGTATTTTTCATTCATTAAAAGTTTGAAGAGAGGTATACACAGTGGCTCCGGCCTGTGTTTTTTTCTCCTGATCAAAACCTGACTCCTAGATTTATGAGTGATGAAAGTTTTCGAACGGCCCAACTATTAACTCATCTGGCAGAGCAGGCCTCAATCAGACTAGATTAGAGGTGATTACAGCATTAGGATGAGAAACAGCTGGGACAGTCCTGCAGTAATATAACTGTTTGTATGTAAGAGAACAAGAGAACAGATTTATGTCCTTATAACTGTGTGTCCTTGTCCTTTACCTTCCAGTCTTGGCTGTCCTCCAGTCTGTAGCGGATCTGGTATTTGGCCTGAAACAGGAAGTCCTTGAGAGCGGGCGGGGCCTCCCAGCGAACACTCAGCTGATCCTCTAACTGCCCGACGCGACTGACAGTCACACCTGATGGAGGGTCCGTGGTCACTGGAGGAAGAGGAGATGAAGGAGGTTATTATATAATAAGATCTCAACAAGAGCTGAAACGATGAAGATGTGCCAAAAATCAACTGGTTCCAAATATTTACTAACTTCCTCAGTCTTCTGGGATAGTAAAACTAATAAATTAGAGTTTTTGACTGTTACACATCACTTTGAGATCTAAAACTATTACTATTTTCTAACAAGTCAGACCCAGAATGAATCCAAACAGATCTGTAATGAAGAAAAATCACTTGTATGAGGAAACTGAGCACTGATCAGTGACATTAGGGCTGAAAATATCATTATTGTCATGATCGATTACACATTATCACCATTTAAAGCTGTTATGGCCAACATGTTAGCAAAGATGCTTATTTACACACCGAGAAACATAATCATTCATTTGGAGTTGTGTCACTGTCCTCCTGCCAAATGTTAGGCCAACATTCCCTTTTTAGCTCTGTTTTTGGTCTCTACCAACTCCTGCGGGAAATATCTGGCTCTTTAGCGGCTCAATGCTCCACTATGCAGATAGTCACTAACACACAGTAATTTGATCCATCGTTAATATAAAAATATTGATTAGAGCTGTTTTAAGGATTTAAGAAACGTCTTTAAAAAGATTAGTGTATATGTTGCCAAACAACCTGCTGGATTTCTATTTATTCTTGAGGAAAGCTGTGGTTTGTTGCGTGACTATAATGTCATAATCAGCGCAGAATCTCAAATGTACAAACAATGATTTCACAAGAGGCCCAAACTGGGGTATATTTTAATTTATTGCACCCATTAGCAAGTATATTTCTATCCTAAGAACTTAATGATAAACTTCTGGTGGACAGATGGCCCATATTATCATTTTTAGCCAAAAATCCATCGCTTGGGGGCTTCTTTCTACATTTTAGAGTAATGTTTGCGGGGTCAAGAAAATCCATTCAATTCAAATTTAAAGCGGTAGGAGTGATGTCTTTATGTGTAACAGCACATTGAAGGATTGTTCAGCGTTGGCGGAGGTTTGTGGTCTCTGAGTGCCTCCTAGTTTCTGAAGAGTTGACTTGTGTGAGCTGTAAGAGGCTTTTTCATCTGACAACGATTATCTTTTCGACAAACAAACATATGGTGACAGACCATTATTTTAACTTTCCTCGCGTTTTGTTTTGGGCTTTTGAGATCGTTTCAATATCAACTTCAGTTCCTTTTCATAATGTCATCCCTTAGCAATAAACAAACAAGACGACCCAGGGGAAAGAAGAAGACTGGAAAGATTCAGTGGAGGGGAAAAAGTGGGAGTTGACACGAGAGTTTTAGAGGATTCGTTTCTGGTCGCCAGTGTATGGAGGAACCGGAGTCTCTCGCTCAACTAAAATGTGTTACTTCAGGCGCGTCAGTTTGTACTAATGGGTGATTTAAAAAGCGTAAATGCAACGGTGGAACGCACAGTCATCCGTCGTAACACAAAGGTGGAGAGTAAAACTAAGGAAATGTAACTGTTAAAGCTTTGGTAAAACATCTTAGTACAGTGACACCAGAGTGAAGATAGCCTGCAATTATTGAAATAATGGATGCACTTCAATGTATTCTTCTTGGAGATTTTCTCTACTTATCCAGCTTTAAATTGCAGTGGTTTTTAATTCTTTAAATTATTTAGGCTTAACTAGTGAAAAATAATAATTTCAAAGTAGGATTAATACAGTACGGAAGCTGAGAACAACCATAGTTTAACCCCATATTTATGATATGAGTTGTTTTCTCATAATAACTGGAATAATCATGTTTTGTTACCCCTTACTTTTCCACTTTAACTTATCTAAAATTAAACATCATACAAAGATAAGTAGAATAAATCCATGGACTATATTTAGTATAAAGTATGAGGTCTCATAACATACATAGCATTTCTAATTTTTCAATTTGACAACCATTAATTTGGAAAAAGCATGACGGCAGGTTTCATAATAATATCTCTCATCTCATCTCTCTTCTACTTTCATTGTTATTTTGAGATAAAGAAGATATTCCATCACATTATTATTGTTTTTTCAAGACAATTATTCCTTAATCACAAGCCCAAACCAAAGATATCCTCAGACACTAGGATAATTAATTTATTGTAAAATTATTACCTCATCACCTCTGGACTTCCATAGAAGACAAAATTGTTCAAATGGTATGCATAATAGAGGACAAAGTTATTTGACAAGTACAAGTGTTGTTTCTATACATTACATGCATTTGCCGATGAAAGTCAATGAGACCTGACAGTTTACAGATTAATCATCGTTGTGTCATTCCTAAACACATCCTCATCTCAGCGTCAGACCAATACAAGTTGCCTCTAGTCTCTCAGATCAGAGGGTTCCCCTTGACTAAGGAATGCAGAGAAGACTGTAGGTGTTTCCGCCTCGCCTTCATAACTGATTAGACATGACCGTAGACGCGAGTGACTCACAGCAGCTCAGCGCAGGTGTGGTTGCTGTGTTTTATGACCTGCTGCTGTTGTGGAAACTTTCATGAAAAAAATGGCCAGGGCAACCTGAGTGAAACAAAAACGCACACACAAGTCCAGAAACCGCCTACGCTCTGCCTGCCTCTCTGTTTCTATACGGTTACCAGGCCCTGCCCTGCCCCTAGGGTGTGTAAACAGGTGTGTGTGCGCATACATTAGGGAACGGAAAAGGATTACAGTTTGATGGACGCTTGTTTCCTCGCCAGTGACGCCTTCACCTCTGAAACCCTATATGGTTTTCTCTCGGTACATTTCCCAGGCACCGATCGGAGCGTGTTAGGAGTGAACCAGGTGAAGAGCTCCAAGCTAATCAGGTTGTATTATTTCAGGTCCAAGTCTTAAAGCCTCAAAGCCCAAACTCCTCGGGCCTCGGGGTCTGCAGTCGGCTTGGAGATGGGATTAGGTTTGTGGATCAGTCTGGAACATTCCAACTCTAGATTAAAGGGGGTTAGCGAGTGTTTTCTGTGTGTGTTTCTTGTGTGTGTGTCCAGTGAGCATGAGTAAAGAGAAAATGAGCTCATCAAAAGAGAGGGCGTTTCCATTCGTCACACCTACGCCTGTCCAGGTGCGTGCATGCAAGTGTGTGTGAGTGTGTGAGTGTTTTTTAGCGGATAATGAGGAAAGAGAAGAATCTGGTCTTGTTGCATGCTCCGTTTGCTTAAACCGCACTAAGCTAGACAAGGAACCACATAACAAAGCTTTAAAAGGGAACACCGCTCAGTTCCTATCAGCGTGAAGCTGGATGAAGGCTTGTGAACAACTCTCTCCAAAAGCAAGAAGCCACAGAAGTCAAGCCAATGTCCTGTCTGTAGGAATATAAGAGATTTATTTATAAAGTGAAGTGATGCTCTTCTTCAGCATTTTATGGACAGCCCATTTGAGGCTAAAGCTAAAGTCATTCATGGTTCATAACCTGTGGGTCACAAGATAAATCTTAGGGGTCTTGAGATAATAAATAGGAGTAGGAATGAACCGCTTGACTGTTTTTCAACCAACAGGGATCCTTGAGTGGGTTGTAGGAATTCCCGAGCAGAAGGAGGATTTTTTTGGAAGTTGGAACAACAAGGGAAGAAATGGGTTTTTTCTGATTGATTGTAATTTATAGTGATCCCAGTTTGAAAACATAAGACTATATTCTCTCAGTTTGGGGTCCATGGTCTAATGTGTATGTATTGTGGGGATTCCTTGGCATGAAAATGTTTGAAAACCCCTGGCTTGACTTACAGTTTTTACTTGGCCTGTCACAATAATTACATTATCGACTTATCGTATGATAGAGAATCCATTTTATTTACAGTTTTGGTTGTGTGGTTTTATTTGTTTTATTTATTTAGGATATGTTAATATTTTTATATATATTCCAATTCCATTTTCTGAATATTCTCAAGAAATAAAAATGAATTGCTCTTTGAAAGGGTGTACTTGAATTATAATGGTAATCATTATATCAGTGGTATAAAATGGTCTTAAAATGACAATAATATCACTTATTACAATTATTTCTGGGACATTTATATAATCCAACAAAAATAGTTATCGTAACCCTTGTTACCCTATTCAAGGTTATTAAATATTTTTTCCACACTGCCTGACAGTATCACATATACTGAAGCTTGTTCCAGCTGGGAAGAATATTCAAACCCAAGACAATATTGTGCTTCATTTTATACACATTACCCCAAAATGCAGCTTTAATATACTTGGTATCTTTAAAGCCTTTGGGATCTAGTTCTATAAGAAATACATTGAATCTGCTGCACAAAATGATGTGTATGTTTTCAAAATTTAAGAGCTTAGAATAAAGACAGGAAACGGGGACACAGCTAGCCTGGCTCTGTGAAAACTTGAAGTCACTGCTGCTGGCCAAGAAAATGTCTGGCACATAACCCCACCCCCCGTAAAACCACAAATTGTTGCTGTTACGCCAAAGTTTTTATATGGATTAAACAAACAAGATACAACGTGTTAATTAATATGCTTTTGAGGTGCTGGAAGGCATATATTTATGATTTGTCTAGTTGTTAACCCTTGATTAGTGTTAATGCTAAGCTAAGCTAATTATCCTCTAACTCTTGGGAAGAAAAGAAATAAGCGCGTTTTTCAAAATGTCTGACTGTGCCTTTAAATTAAGTAATCTTTGATTGTGACTTTTATAATAAAGGCTGTTCAGTGTCACAAGTTTCATTGTTTTCTTTTTATTTGCTTCATTCTTCCTTTAACAACACTAAAAAGTGAACTACTTACAGGTTGTAGACACAACCTGTGACAAGGGGGCGCAGGTAGACACTGCTTTGTCTTTTCAAGGGTCCCAAGCCTTAAAGGCTGGTATCCACTGTCCTAGACCACAACCTGAGGGCTCACTGACATTGGGATCTAAGCTCTAAATTACAGCAGTTCAAGAAAGCGGGTCAAAGTTCACTCCTTCTCACACTCACCCACGTCTAGGATGTCGAGGGTGATGACATCAGAGGTAGCCTGGCCAAGCTGATTGGAGGCCTCCACCCAGATCTCGTAGGGCGTGAAAAGGTGCAGGTCCCGAGTGATGCTGCAGGAGTACGGCTGCGAATGAGTGTAATCCTCACACTCCTTCTCCTTACCGTACCATCTGAGAGGAAAAACAGAAAGTACTGAAATAACTCTGGACAGTATCAATATCCTTGAATAAAATGTGATATAGAATTTATTGTATAATGTGTTACTGGTTAAGAGTTTATCTGGATCTTGTGGTTTTATTAAGTCCTTATTTACAGTAATCTCACTGCAGTAAGACATTTCACTGCAGTTAGTGTGCCTGTGGGCACTGCATGTCGAGTCATTTCCCTTCTGGTGTTTTTAAATAGTGGATTTAACAATTAAAAATGTGAATAGAGCTTACAACCCATCTGAAACTCATTTCTGAAAATGTATCATTCCCAGATGAAAACCTGTTTCTCCTAATTCTCGTGAAATTTGACTTTTCTGAAAGGGTTTCACCTTCTGGCAACCACTGATGTTATTCCTCTTAAAATATGTTCTGCCAAAGAGATAAGGTATGTTGTGCTGTTTCCAGCTCTGTTTAACTTGCTCCTGGGGCTTTTTTAGAGGCATATGAAAACTCACAAAATATGTTGATTTTGACTGGGAACATTCGCAATAAGGCTACCAAGTTGGATGCTTCATCCATCTGAATCTAAGGCTTGTTTTACTTGGTTTTCACTCCCTTTGTTTCCTACATGTCTCTACATGTTGTAATTTTCCAAATAGGTTAGGCTACTCAGAAATGTTATCAATTGCCCATTCGCTGAAGGCCTCCTCACCCAATTGGCCAATCATAGCTTAGCATGGCAAGCTTGTCAAACTTTGGATTTCTCCACATGTTGAAGCAATGTTCATGGATCTGCAGTAAGAGTGACACACCTATCTAAAACCAAAATGCAAGATATAAAGTCAAGGCAAGCACATCCACTGATGCATCCTGGATGCTACTATATCAGAGATTAGGTTAATGTTAGCATATCTATCCTGCTTTGTTGGATTCCGGGAAGCGTATCCTCTAGCAACCACAGCTAAATATGTCACCCAAGATAGCGTTACATAAATATATATTGATGGTGTAAATGCTTAAAAATTATAAATATTTAAATGGATTTATGGATTTCTATCCTCAAAATCATAGTCATTATTCGAAAGAGGAAGTTGTACTAATTACAGCGGTATGTGTGTGTTTGGGGCAAATAGCGTTAATTTTGTTCTAAAGGTTTATGTTTAATTCCCAAGAAAAAGTTGATTTTGTTGTGAATGGAATGACCTGAGTATACCTGAGTTTGTACTTGAGAGTGTACTGTGTGCTAATGTTGGTCTCTCCTTTTCCTCCTGGAGCCCAGCTGCAAGTCAGGTCTTTGGTGTTCCTGGACCAGCAGGTCAGATTGACCGGCTTCTCTGGAGGCACTGAGATGGAAAGAGAGAAAGAGAGATGGGTGAAGAGAAAGGAGATTAGAACAGAGGGAAGGTAGAGAAGGGAAGATGTGGGGTCATTGAGGGTACAGAGTTACCTCCAGCCATTACTTCAGCCCCTTCCTCCTGAGTGTAATTCACCCACTAGTGATGTTCCTCAGAAATTGGTGGGGTTTTTTTCTTAATTGGTGTGTGTGTGAGTGTCTCGGTGTGTGTGTGTGTGTGTGTGTGTGTGTGTGTGTGTGTGTGTGTGTGTGTGTGTGCTGTCTGATTTGGTCCAACTCGGGATCCCTGCCAACATTCCTCGTCTCTCAGAACACAGGGTGCTCAACACCAGTGTCGCACAGAGATTAAGATCCCGACTGCATCTCCTTGTCTGTGTGTGTGTGTGTGTGTGTGTGTGTGTGTGTGTGGGTGTGTGTGTGTGTGTCTGGGAAAATGAAAGCACGTGTTTCTTCATGGGTACATTATTGTGACTCCTGAAAAGTTCAACTTTACCTCCAAGTAAAGTGTTTAATCATTGTTTCTTGCCCAGTCAGACTATACTGTAGTGATTACAATTACTTTGTTGATACAATGTCATCATAACCAATAGAAATCATGGCCAAAACTACAAGACCAAAGTTGTAATAAACAGAATCATCGTTTAAGGCTTAGTTTTAGTGGTCAGGGTACTAAAAAAGATACCACTTTCACTCTGTATAGTTAATATGTAGCTACTGTTAGCTTAGCTTAGCACAAATACTGGAAACAGGGGCAAACAGCTAGCCCGACTGTTCTACCAGCACCTCTAAAGCTCCCTAATAAACATACTATATCGCAGTTGTTGAATCCAAAACCAGTGTTAAGTGGTTATGTGCCAGATGTGCTAATGCTAAGCTAACCAGCTGCTGTCTGTAACTTAATATTTATCCTAAAGACATGAGATCGCATCAGTCTACTCATCTAACTCCCAGCAAGAAAACAGATAAGCATACTTCCCAAAATGTCAAATTACTTCTGGAAGGTAACATAAATAAATATTGAGTGGCTAGGTAACGCATTATGTAAATGCTGGTCCTCATAAGTACAGAAGTACAAAGGCGTCTGTGTAAAATGTCTTGTTATGACCCATGCCCTATGAGTGATTATGCGAGTAATGGACTACACAGGTGGTCAAAGCGTCACAAAGTGACACACTCATGGAGGCCTCTCACTGGCCTGAAGGCAGGAATACTAAACATAAAATACGGCCACAACTGTGTGGGGACACTTAAAAATCTGCCCACTACTTCCTCGTTGTCTCCCTTTATTCCCCATTTCCCTTTCACTCCTCTCTCCTCTTGGTTGTGCAGCTACTCCCGCTCCTGTTCTGCCTTGTATTTACACTTTTTCCTTAACAGTGAAGCAGAGAGACAAATGCAGACAGGTTCCTGTCTCAGAAATTGTGGCCAAATAAAAACACATCCTTCTACTACTGACTGAAAGCTGAAAAATCATATAACCACTGACAAACTTCAACTTACTCCCGACGTAGAGGCAGGAGCCCGCCAAGATGTGTCCCTTGTGGTTGTGACAGACCAGGTTGTCACCGGACGTTTGCCTCGAGGCGTTGAGCCCAGCCAGCGTCACACTGAGGTTTGTCGGGCTGAGCACTCGGTACAGGGAGCTAGGCAGCTGTTGACCATTGAGTGTCCAGAACAGAGAGCTGGCGTGGACGCCGAGGTCGGAGTGGACCCAGCAGCTGGCGGTTAGATTGGACCCCATGCGAAGGACGGGGTCCTGGGGGTAGATTACTGCTACATCTGGAGGAGATGGGTATTAGAGGAGGAGAGTTGAGGAAAACAAATTTACACTCGAAGGTCAGTTTACTCAACACTTAGAGCGCTATTCAGCATGTGGAATCAGCCGTATAATGTCCTTCGTGGCTCTGGACGGACCTTTCTAAGGAAATAACCCTGATGATGTCATAGTGATGTACTCCAGGCTATGAGTTTAGGCTTGAAACTTCAAATATTAGACAGAAAGTCTGAATTACCAACCGGAAGTGTGCAGCCTGAAGGATGTGGGTGTTTCCCAGATAAAGAGGGACTACTAAAATATGCTTTACAGTTGCATTGTGGGATATGTAGGATCCAGGGTTTGGATCCATACTAGGGGACTACAATTCAGGATATCTCTCTTTGGAGTCGTCATACTAAATCACTGGAGGATGCCTTTCAAGATCCAGTGTGTTGGATTTAGTGGCGTCAAGCGGTGAAGTTTTCAGATTGCAACTAACGTGCACGAACGTGTCTGTGTTTGACGACCTGGGAATGAGATTGGACTGTGAAGTGTGTAGGAGAAACTACGGAGGCTGCAAAACTCGCAAAAAAACTACAAGCAGTGTTTGGTTTGTCTCTTCTGGGCTACTGTAGAAACATGGCAGTTCAACATGACAGACTCATTAGAAGACGACCCACGGAATCTGTAGATAAAAACAGCTCATTCTAAGGTAAGAAAAACAAATGATTCCTATATTCAGGTGATTATACACCAATGAAAACATACCTATGAATATCATATGCATTTTCTGGCAATAGAGCTTCCTAAATGTTACAAACTGGACCTTTAAAGACTCTAGACTTTGGAAAAACCAACTAGTTTTGAGTCTCCCAGGCTAGGCTAACTATGGATTCAAAATCTAATAAAAGAAAATTTAATATCACATGAGCCGATTTGTTTGCTTTCACAACCGCGATGCTTGCTGGTATGCTTGATCTGAAGCTAGAAATTAGCATTATCAGGCTCAAATATGTTTTGCGGCTCCAAACTGATTGTTGTTGGCCAAAATGTCTCTTTTGATAGTAAAGGTTGCTGACCCTTAGTACGAGTAAAGAATGCTCCAGAAGAAGAGAAGAGAAGAGATTCGGAGAGCAAGTTTATTTCTTCAGATTGGAGGATTTTAAAGGAAAATGTTGCCCACCTGAGTAGACAGCTCTATGAAAACATGTAAGTAAGAGGATTTCCATGCAGAAAAGACAGAGCAGTGAGCGAGTGAGAGCGTCAACACTTTGTCAGACCACTACAAATCTGGGGCCCGGGGGCACATCTATTGAGCTGCCAGCCACCTTACGCTGACAGACATTGTGTGGGCTTTTGAAGAAGTTAAATCAACTGTAACTCCACACCAATATTAATCTCATAACCCTGGCTGGAGCTTTGACACAACACTTCCACACATTTATGCACACACATGAATGCAAACAAACATATGCACAGAGGGC